ACATCACTCCAGCCTCAATTCAGTACGCTGTGCCAAATTTCCTGCAAATCGAAAGATATATAGGCACATTGGTGCACCATTTACCTAAAATCGGACGAAACTATATATGGGAGCTGTATCGAAATCTGAACCGATTTTCAGGAAACTTGGCAGACATCACTCCAGGCTCAATTCGTTACGCTATGCCAAATTTCATGCAAATCGAAATACATATAGGGACTTTGGTACACCATTTACTTAAAATCGGACGAAAATGTATATGGGAGCTATATCCAAATCTGAACCGATTTTCATGAAATTTGGCACACATCACTCCAGCCTCAATTCATTACGCTATGCCAAATTTCGTGCAAATCGGAAGATATATAGGGACTTTGGTACACCATTTACTTAAAATCGGACGAAAATGTATATGGGAGCTATATCCAAATCTGAACCGATTTTCATGAAATTTGGCACACATCATTCTAGATCTAATTCAGTACGCTATGCCAAATTTCGTGGAAATCAAAAGATATATAGGGGCTTTGGCGCACCATTCGGACGAAAATATATATGGGAGCTATATCTAAATCTGAACCGATTTTCACGAAACTTGGCACACATCATTCTAAATCTAATTCAGTACGCTGTGCCAAATTTCATGCAAATCGACTGATATATAGGGACTTTGGTACACCATTTACTTAAAATCGGACGAAAATGTATATGGGAGCTATATCCAAATCTGAACCGATTTTCATGAAATTTGGCACACATCACTCCAGCCTCAATTCATTGCGCTATGCCAAATTTCGTGCTAATCGAATGATTTTCAGGAACTTTGGTACACCATTTACCTAAAATCGGACGAAAATATATATGGGAGCTATATCTAAATCTGAACCGATTTCCACGAAACTTGGCAGACATCATTCTAAATCTAATTCAGTACGCTGTGCCAAATTTCATGCAAATCGACTGATATATAGGGACTTTGGTACACCATTTACTTAAAATCGGACGAAAATGTATATGGGAGCTATATCCAAATCTGAACCGATTTTCATGAAATTTGGCACACATCATTCTAGATCTAATTCAGTACGCTGTGCCAAATTTCCTGCAAATCGAAAAATATATAGGCACATTGGTGCACCATTTACCTAAAATCGGATGAAAATATATACGAGAGCTATATCTAAATTTGAACCGATTTCCACGAAACTTGGCAGACATCATTCTAGATCTAATTCAGTACGCTGTGCCAAATTTCGTGCAAATCGAGAGTTATTTTGGGACTTTTGTGCACCATTTACCTTAAATCGGACGAAACTATATATGGGAGCTATATCCAAATCTGAACCGATGTTCACGAAACTTAGCACACATCATTCTAGACTTAATTCAGTACGCTATGCCAAATTTCGTGCAAATCGAAAGATATATAGGGACTTTGGCGCACGATTCAGACGAAAATATATATGGGTGCTATATCTAAATCTGAACCGATTTTCACGAAAGTTGGCAGACATCATTCTAGACTTAATTCAATACGCTATGAAAAATTTCGTGTAAATCGAATGATTTTCAGAGACTTTGGTATACCATTTACCATAAATCGGACAACAATATATATGAGAGCTATATCTAAATCTGAACCGATTTTCACGAAACTTGGCAGACATCATTCTAGGCTCAATTCAGTACCCTGTGCCAAATTTCGTGAAAATTGTAAGATATTTAGGGACTTTGATACACCACTCGGACGAAAATATATATGGGAGCTATATCTAAATCTGAACCGATTTTTCTCAATTTCAATAGGGTTCGTCCTTGGGTCAAATAAGTGACCTATACCAATTTGCATCCAATTCGGATCATAAATGCGACCTGTATTTTGTTTACAATTTAACATGGACAGACAGGCGGACGGATGGACAGACGGACGGACTTGCATAAATCGATTTCGAAAGTGATTCTAGGCATATTCTCAAAAGGAACCATGGGTCTATCTCGTTTCCTTGTGTCTGTTACAAACATATTGCACAAAGACATAATACCCTGTACCACAGGGTGGTGAAGGGTATAAATTTTTTATAAAAAAAAAAATCCACGCCTTTAGTAGAACCTTAAAAAAATTTTTTTTAATCTAAATTTTTATTTTTTTATTTTTGTGTTTAAAATTTTTCTACCAACAATAAAAGAAAAATAGAACGCACTAATTTGTTTGTTTATATTTCAAAATTCCGACCTTCTCTCCCGCCCTGATATGGGTGGTATAACTAATCTTTAGTTGACTTAGAAAAAAAAATAGCAACATTCAGATTTCTTATCAATCTGCGGAACAAAGTCTAGATCATCTGTTAACATTTAATCTTGAATTTTTTTGTGCTGCTGCCGATGTTCTAGACTTGTAAAGGAGCAGCATCAGCCGCATCATCATCATCTGTAGGCATGAAAAAAAAACAAATCAAAGATTTCATCTGTCTATTGACGTAAGCAAATAAAAATTTTCGATTTCCATAATCTTCAATATTCTGCTTGTTCTTCGGTTTTTTTTAATTGCAAGAAAAAAATGTGTCAGTGTGTTGAGAATTTTTTTTTAAAAAAAATCAGATTTCTGTGGGACTTTGACTTTGGCAAAAAACATGAAAATAATTGACAGAAGATAAGTGTTTCGAATTTCAGATCTATTTTTGTTATGGACAAGTCCATCCTGTATGATGGCCTTCAGATCACCAGGGGACTTAAGTGACCCTCACAAAGTGGCAATTATTATTCGATTTTTTTTTTTCAAAGTCCAATATTTTGCCGATTTTAAAATTTGTTTTCGACACACTTGGTCTCATTTTAATAGAACAGAAAATTATAGGCAAATACAGACCCCAATGGAGCAAATTTTTTAAATCGATTGCCAGATAATCCCCTTGCACTTCAACTCCAATAACAACCAACAACAAAAATTCCCATAAATTCCAAACAATTGTTTTTTTAATAATTTTTTTAATAAACAAATGTGGAACAACAAAATAATGAAATGATAAAAATAACAACAACAAAAGAAATTATAAAAAACAATTCTAAAAAAACCCGTAAAAAATAAACACCTTTATAAAACAAACAAGAAAAAAAATTGCGGCGCAATCGAAAAAAAAAATATACGTAAATAGAATCGGTCGGGAGTGGGTTATGAATGTCGGTCACCCACCCAGCCAGCCGCAAAATCAGAAACCGAATAATAAAAATATGCAGATAACAACAAATTGCAAAATAAAAATTTTGCTAAACAAAATAAAATTTAAAATACCGAAAAATATTCCATGTAGGTCCTTAACAAAATATTAAAAAAAATCCACTCATATAGAAGAACCTCAAAAAATATTAAAAATTTAAGCCTAAAAAAACCTATTTTTTTTTATTTTTTTTTTTTATTTAAAAAATAATTTAATAATTTAAATTAAAAAACAATTTTTTTTTTTAAAAATTTTTATTTTTTTTTTATATTTTTTTTTATTTTATTATATTTTTTTAATTTCATTTTTTTTTTATTTTAAAATTTTTTTATTTTAATTTTTTTTATTTTAAAATTTTTTAATTTTTATTTTATTTTTTTTTTTTTCAAATCCCCTACTCTTAAGAAGATTAAAATCTTATCTTTTCTTGTTTGAACCTGTTCTCCTATCTATTTAAAACCCCTTTACAACGCGTCTCCTTACAGTTTAAACAGCCACTCTCCATCCATCATTCATAAAATAAAAGTTATTTTGAAGAAGAAGAAGAAGAAACCCCAACGATCACAACCAAAGAGATAAAAAACAAAACAAGAACATTATCTGAGAAAAAAACAACAACAAAAATTAAGTGTGGATTAAAATAATAACAGCATTACTTGTGTAGTATAAAAGAACGAAAAACAAAACCAAACAAACAACGACAGGAACAAAAACAACAACAATAACAACATTACCCACAGACATTAACCTGAACGCCAAGCAGCATTGTTTTTGGTGTGTGGGGACAAAAGCACACACAAACAATTAAACACACAGTAGAAAAGCCGAGAGCCTATATGAGCGAGAGAGGGAGAGTGCTCGCGTTAACGAACGAAGAAGGGAGCTCTTCGTTAATACAACTGCAAACACACACACACACACAACAATCATTGATCAACGAACACAACGAGTAGTAGATTGGGTAAAAACAACAACATATTAAAACAACAACAACAACAAATTAAAACAAAAACACAGTAAGGTAAACATTAAGTGTGGATTAAAATAATAACAGCATTACTTGTGTTGTATGAAAAGAAAATACAAAAAAAACAAAACCAAACCAAACAAACAACGACAAGAACAACAATAACAACATCACCCACAGACATCAACCTGAACGCCAAGCAGCATTGTTTTTGCTGTGTGGGGACAAAAACACACACACAAACAACCAAACACACAGTAGAATAGCCGAGAGTCTATACGAGAGAGTGTGGGGACAACATCACACACAAATAACCAAACTCACAGTAGATTAGCCGAGAGCATATACGAGAGAGAGAGAGAGTGCTCGCGTTAAGGAACGAGTGAGGGAGCTCTTCGTTAATACAACAATCATTGATGTTGATCAACGAACTCAACGAGTAGTAGATTGGGGGGAAAACAACAACAACAAATAAAACAAAACCGGGCAGGCAGCCAGCCAGCCATCCCAAACAACCGGTCGTTATACCAAAATATTAATCAGTCGCGTTTAGACTATTGTTTGCATTGGACGTGTTTTCTATTCTGTTATTAACTTGTTGTGTTGTGTTTGTGCTCGCGTTTTGTGGTACAACAACAGATAAGAGGGAAACTTCTTGAACGGATTGTTATAAATTTGTGATTTTTTATAAAAAAAAAAGAAAAAAAAACGAAAAATCTACTTTAAAAAAGTGATACCTCTAAATCTCAAAAAAAAAATATTTTTAGTTTCCGTTTTGTTTTTTTTGTGACTTTGTGAAAAAAAAACTCCATACAAAAATGATACGCACTCCCACAGTCCGTTTGGCCTCACAATTCATCCGCTCTAGAGCGGCCAGCAGCCGTTCAATTAACACCAATAACCGTCAACAGAACACAGCGGCCACGGTCCAACCAAATCTCACCAGCAACGATAAATTCCTGCACTACACCAATGAGGAGGGTTATTATCGCAGCTCGTCCAGTGAACCGTTGGCCATACCCAATGTGCCCTTGGACAAATATGTTTGGCGTGATGTTAAGAAATATGAAAATAGTGTGGCAACGGTAAGTTGAATATAAAAATAATATATTTAAAAATAAACAAGAAAAACAAAAAAAAAATAAAATTTGAAAAAAATAATAACAAAAATTAATAAAAAAATGTTAAAAAAATTTAAAGAAAAATTTAAAAAAAATCAAAAATAAAATAATTAGAAAAGGTTTATCAAAAAATTGGTATTAAAAAAACACTGGGAAAGAAATTTAAACAAAAAATAATAAATTACAAAAAAAAAGTTTTGAAAAAAAAAAAATAAAAAAGGGAATGAAATTGAAAAAAAAAATAAAATATATAAAAAAAATTTTCAAAAATTAATTATTGGATTTTTTTTAAATTCTGGATATCTAAAAAATTATTTCAGAGGATTTTTCAAATTAAATTAAAAATGAAAGATTTGTAATATTTGAATTTAGAAAAAAATGTAAAAAAAAATATTTTGTTAAAAAAGCCACTGGGAATATTTCAAAAATCCCCGGCATTCTTAAGATTTTTTGTCCGAGATTTGAAAATTAATAAACATAATAAAATTGAATAATAATAAAATAATTTTTTGAAGCATAAAATCACCAAAAAAATCACAACAAATCAAAATTCCGGGGAATTTCAGAGATTTTTTTAGGAATTTCAAAACATCTATGGGATTAAAAAAATTAAAAAAATATTTTTTTTTTAAAAAAATTTAAATTTTTTTCAAAAATTTTAATTTTTTTCTAATAATAATTGATTTCAATATTCAAAATTTAAAATTCTGTAAATACAAAAAAATCTGTTTAATCAAAATTCCGGCGAATTTCATAGATTTTTTTTAGGAATTTCAAAAAATCTAAGGGATTAAACAAATTAAAAAAAATAACTTTTTATTAAAAATTTAAAATTTTTTTTTGATAATAACTCATTTCAATATTTAAAATTCTGTAAATAAAAAAAAAATCTGTATAAAAATTCCCAAAATCTTATGAAAAATTTTATAAAATTAATTTTAAAAAAATTTAAATTTTTTTCACTCCTCTGCCTTTTTTTATTTTCAAAATATAAAAACCAAAAAAATTCAACACGGTTTAATATTTTCTCCAGTGGGATAGGTCAGTAATAGTTTGTCTGAAGATTTTTTTTTTTTTTTTTTTTTTTTGGATAAACAAAACATCGTCTTTTTATGTGTGTGTGGTTGTGTATGTGTTCTTCGAACTTAGCAGTCTGGTCAGAATTTTCGATCAAATAGCTAAATTGAATGACAATAGAAATTTGTTGTTGCTGAATTCTAAATGAGAAATCGTTGAAGAAAACAATTTGGAATATAAATTTAGAACAGATTTCAATATTTATGAAAATTTTTTGATATATAAAAATTTGAAGATTTTTTTTAAATCCCGGGATTTTTGAAAATCTCCAGAAATTAAGATTTCTGTGAATAAAATCTATAGAATTATTTCAATTTTTAGGTTCATTGACCTTTTAATATTATTATTATTTTTACAATCCCGCTCAAATTGTCAAATCCCCCACAAAAATTCGGGGAATTTTTTAAATCTCCACGAATTTATATTTTGTAAATTTTATATAATTTTGAAGGGTTTTAGTATTGTTTAATAAGAATCTAGAGAAATTTTAAAAATCCCAAAAAATCCCAAAAAATTCTGGGGAATTTTTAAAATCCCCAGGAATTGATTTTTTTGAAATTTTGTAGGAAATTTCGAATTTATAAGGTTTTTGGTCTTCTATAACCAGAATCTGGGGACATTTTCACAATCCCGCTCGATTTTTGAAAATCCCCAAAAAATTCTGGGGATTTTTTTCAAAATCTCCATGAATTGATTTTTTAAAATTTTGTAGGAAATTTTTAAGTTTTTTTGGCCTTTTATATAATTTTTAAAGTTTTTTACATTGTATAACCCAGGCGATATTTGAAAATCATTTTTGTTATTTGAAATTTTGTCTAAAATATATAGTTTTTAGGGTTTTTGGCCTTTTATAAACCGAATCTGGGGACAATTTAATAATCCCGTGCAATATTTGAAAATCCCAGAAAATTTTCGGAGAATTTTTTTAAAATCTCCAGGAAATTTTTTTTTTAAATTTGGTTTAAAAAATATAATTTTTTAATGTTTTTGGCCTTCTCTAAAAAGAATCTGGGGATATTTTTACAATCCCGGCAATATTTGAATTTTTTTTCAAAATCTCCAGGAATTATTTTTTTTTTTTTTAAATTTGGTTTAAAAAAATACAATTTTTTAATGTTTTTGGCCTTCTCTAAACAGAATCTGGGGATATTTTTACAATTGCGGCAATATTTGAAAATCCCAAAAAATTCTGGGGGATTTTTAGAAATCTCCAGGAATTTACTTTTTTGCAAATTTTGTGGATTACTTATCATTTTTATGTTTTTTGGCCTTCTATAACCAGAATCCGGGGACATTTTCACAATCCCTGTCAATTTTGGAAAATCCCAGAAAATTTTCGGGGAATTTTAAAATCTCCAGGAATTAATTTTTTTGTAAATTTTGTGGATTTTATATAATTTTTAAAGTTTTTAATACTGTATAAAACCATACTTAGGGAATATTTTTACAATCCCACTCGATTTTTGAAAATCCCCAAAAATTGTGGGGATTTCTAAAAAAATCTCCAGGGATTAATTTTTTATAATTCCCGTAAGTTTTGTATCGATTTAAGTAGTGTTGGATAGTCTAATACTAGAATCTGGTGATATTTTTACAATCCCGTGCGATATTTGAAAATCCCAGAAAATTTTCGGGGAATTTTTAAAATCTCCAGGAATTGATTTTTTTTTTTTAATTTGGTCTAAAATATATACTTTTTTAAGGTTTTGGCGTTCTCTAAACAGAATCTGGGGACATTTTCACAATCCCACTCGATTTTTGAAAATCCCCAAAAATTGTGGAGATTTCTAAAAAAATCTTCATGGATTAATTTTTTTTAATTCCCGTAAATTTTGTATCGATTTTAGTAGTGTTTGGGTAGTCTAATACTAGAATCTGGTGATATTTTTACAATCCCGTGCGATATTTGAAAATCCCAGAAAAATGTCGGGGAATTTTTTAAAATCTCCAGGAATTGATTTTTTGAAATTTTGTAGAAAATTTATAATTTTATATATTTTTTTTTTTTTTGCCTTCTATAACCATAATCTGGTGACATTTTTACAATCCCACTCGATTTTCGAAAATCCCCAAAAATTGTGGGGATTTCTAAAAAAATCTCCAGGGATTAATTTTTTATAATTCCCGTAAATTTTGTATCGATTTAAGTAGTGTTGGGTAGTCTAGTACTAGAATCTGGTGATATTTTTACAATCCCGTGCGATATTTGAAAATCCCAGAAAAATGTCGGGGAATTTTTGAAAATCTCTAGGAATTAATTTTTTGAAATTTTTTCGAAAATGTATAATTTTAAAGGTTTTTGGTCTTCTATAACCAGAATCTGGCGACATTTTTACAATCCCGCATATATTTCAAAATCCCAGAAAATTTTCGGGGAATTTTTTAAAATCTCCAGGAATTTATTTTTTTGTAAAATTTGTGGATTTTTTATAATTTTTAATGTTTTTGGCCTTCTATAACGAAAATCTGGCGACATGTTCACAATCCCTGTAAATTTTGGAAAATCCCGAAAAAAAATCTGGGGATTTTTAGAAATCTCCAGGAATTGATTTTTTTGCAAATTTGGTGGATTTTATATCATTTTGACACTGTATAGCCCTAATCTGAGGACATTTTTTACAATCCCGGTTGATTTTTGAAAATCCCAATAAAAAGTGGGGAATTTTTATAAATCTCCAGGATTTTTTTTTTTTTTTTGCAAATTATGTGGATTTTTTTATAATTTTTAAAGTTTATGACACTGTATAACCCTAATCTGGGGATATTTTCACAATCCCGCACGATATTTGAAAATCCCAGAAAAAACTGGGGAATTTTTTAAAATCTCCAGGAATAGATTATTTGATATTTTGTCGAAAATATATAATATTTTAAGATTTTTGGGACATTTTCACAAACTCGGGCGATTTTTGAAAATCCCAAAAAATCCTGGTGATTTTTAAAAAAATCTCCAGGAATTATTTTTTTTCATTTTTGTATTTTTTTATCGATTTTGATAGTGTTGGGTAATCTAATACCAGAAACTGGTTATATTTTCACAATCGGGGGCAATATTTGAAAATCCCAGAAAATGCCGGGGAATTTTTAAAAATCTCCAGGAAATGACTTTTTTGAAAAAATGGGGACATTTTCACAATCCCGAATTGGGGAATTTTTTGTAATTGATATTTTTGTAATTTTAGGTATTGTAAATAATTTCTAAGGTTCTTGACATTATATGTCCAAAATTTGGGGATTATTTCCCAATTTTCACAATCCCGCTTGATTTTTGAAAATCCACAAATTATTGGCAAAATTTTGTGGATTTTTTTTATAATTTTATGGATTTTGGAATTTCATAAGCAGAATTTGGGCACATTTTTACAATCCGGGTTGATTTTTTAAAATCCCAGAAATATCTGGGGAATTTTTTAAATCTCTAGGAATTAATCTGGGGAATTTTTTAAATCTCCAGGAATTCCCTTTTTTGCAAATTTTGTGGTTTTTATCGAATCTTTATGGCATTGGGTTTGTCTAATAAAAAAATTTTATGAAAATTTCACAAACCCCTTCAATTTTGAAAAATCCCCGAAAAATGTTGGGGATTTTTTTTAAATATCCGGGATTATTTTTTCAACAATTTTAGGGATTTTTTTTATTTAAATTATCTGCTATTGCTCAAACTTTCTTTTTCAATACAAATTTTTGATTAAACCAAATCTTATCAGGTTTTGATAGTTTTATTTTCTTTTCTAAGAAAACATAAATATTCTTAACACCTGTTAGTGTGTGAGTAAATATTTGAGGATTTTTGGGGAAAAAATTATTGATAAGCAACATCGATCGAGCATTGTAATCTACAACATGATTGAACTGGTCTCTACACAACTATTAATCTTGTGCGATAA